CATAGTTCACCATGCTTTCTTAAAGACCACCAAGAGTCCACTCTCTACAATGAGAACCAGAGACTTGAAGCACATCCTGACACTCTAATGTTTGAATGTAATGGAGAAAAAGAGCAGTAACTCCCCAAGGAGGGCACCTAAATTCGTGGCCTGTTGAGTCATCAGCAGTCTGTGAGTCTGAGTGTAGGAAATCAAGATTGGTGGTCAAGGCCATTGAGCTTTGAATCCTCAAGGCCAAGTCTGAGGGGTTCCCAGAGTATAAGCAATTACAGCACAGCTGTCCTTCAACATATGAAGTCAACGCTGAGCCCAAGGATGACAGTCAGCCAAGCAGATGTTGCCAAAGAATTGAGATCGATGCAGCAACTAAACCTGAAAACACTGTACAACTGTTACCCATCCTAGCAATCCTTTTTATAGGCAGTCTTGAAGTTAGAAAAGAACCTTCTAGATCTAGTCCAGAGGCTGTACACTAATAGGCAACAGACCAAAAGCAGCCACAGATGTCTTATTTGCCTCTCCTTCGTTATCTTTTAAATTAACTATTATTTAAAAATATGAAGATTTGGCATAAAAATAGACTTTGCTCATCTTTAAAAAAGATATGGCCACATTATGTCCTTTGAACAAGAATCAGCCAAAGCCAAGTAGTAGATACCCTCTTTAGATGTGCGGAATACAACCAGACCTTAACATTTGTAAACCCTAATTAAATCCAACCATTTGATTCCACGGATGAAGAAATTGAGCTCTGAAAAACTATTTGACCTGTCTACATTTAATGGCAGTCAGAATTAGAAGGCCAGGTGTTCTGAATTCGAGTTCAGTGATTTCCAGTTAGTACTGTTGATATTTCTCCTACAGAATTTGAGATACAGGGACATTACCTACTTGTAGGCACCAAGACAAGGAGAAACAAAACTGAAAACTAGGTCTTCTGCTTCTGTTCCTACTACCCTGCATTCCCTTTGCTGGGCCAGAAATTCTCAGAGGCTGCCATCCACTAGGGAAGTTAAAACTAGGGAGGAACTCAAAGTCCCAGCATTCCTCAGGCTGCTGACCACACCCACAGTCTAAACTATCTGTGCTCTTGGCATAAAGCACTGCACATTCCCAGCCTCCACAGATGCTCTCACAACCAGCTGGGTTATGACCCAACATGCTGCTTTTTCCTTTGCAAATGGCCTTTTCCCTACCCACACAGGCAGTTAGAGGGAACAATAGCCTCCAGGGTACATTGACTCAGGGGAGGGAGGGAAGAGGTTATGAAGAACAGCTGCAGATGACAGGAGGTCAGTAGGAGCTCTGAACTCTCTTTCTGGCTTTCTTTCCAAAATGTCAAATGGCTATGGCCATGGCCTTCAATACATTGCTTTTTAAAAGTACAGACTCTGTCCAGATTGACATAGTTTTACGCAAAGAATACCTTAGCTATGCTCCCCTTGAGTGCAGTGACATTGATTTATAAATCTTTGAAATCTTTAGCTTAAGTGGCCATGAATACATAGTATCATAGCTTCATTATATCTCAGGTCAAGGAATACAGTGTCTAAAACTGTCCAAGGGGATATTTGGTTCCATTTGTATCTTATACATACTAATGACTAAATTAAAGTCTGTGCAAGTAATTAAGATTGGAACTGCATGAGGAATGGAATAGTAACTGTGGAACCATTCACATACAAAATCAAAGCCGTCTTATTTAAGGATGAGAGCAGAAAGAAGGTAGCATCTGAACTGGACTGAAGATGGCAAGGCTGAGCAGCTGAGCAGGCACTGAGTCAGAGATTCTGACTTGTATAAAGAACCCAAATGAACATACTATCAAAGGGCAAGTGCTCAAACATGCATAATGTCAATGACAGTTGAAGCTAAAGGACTTGCCAAGGTCTGCCTTTGCCCTGCCAAGGATCCTGAAACAACTCCTCCATGTTTCCATGAGAAAGACTGCTGCCGGAACTAGTAAGCATAAAGGCAAATTCTCCTTTGTGCTTCCCTCTGGGCAATGCATTAAAAAAATTCCCTAGAGCCTGCATCTGGCATAAATAAAGGCGTTACAGCCAAGTCCCAAGATTCATCAAAATCCAAACCACACATTTATTCTGTTCAGGTCTATCGATCCTGGCTATTGCATGGCCTCCCAGGAGTACAAGTGAAATACCAGGCCGTTGGCTACGGTCAAAGAAGACTTGTCTGTTACCCCTCAAGTAAGATTTATTCTCATTGAAGAAGAGGAGATTCTTCTAGATGCATCATTTAGATTCCAATACTTTGACCCTTGCTGAATATACAATGACAGTATTCTCTCAGAAATAAATGATGATGACAATAATCATTCTATGAGATGGATTTTTTAAAACATGCTTTTTTCTCTTTTAACCCTCACCCTCCTCAGAAGCTGAGTCTGTTGATGTCCTCAACTTTCCTAAGCAGAAACTCAGGAAACAGGCTAGGGCCTTTGTAAAAGAAAAAACAAAAAACCAAAAACTAAAGCTCAGCAAGGGAGGAAACTAGTCTCTTAGATTTGGAACACAAAGAAATGCTGAATTAGGGCTGAGAGCCCACTCACAACAGGTCTGAACTCTCCAGCTCAGCACTAAATCAAACTTGAGTGGTAGGACCAGGAAACCCTCGGTAAGACACTTTCATAATGGCTTTGTCATCAGTACATGGAATTCTGCTACCCACATTCAATGAGCCCAGGCTAATAATTTGATTCCACATAAGGCTCTTCGAGAAACGAGTGTTCTAACCAGGAAAAGACCCAAATCTTCCTTATCTAGCACTGGTCGCTCAATTCAAACCATGCAGTTTTAAAGTACCAGGTCCTCATGGAGAAAGTACAACAGGGTGAGGAAACGTCAGCCCTTTCAACGTGGCAGTGTGTAAAGGAGGAATCACCACCATGTACATGAGCATTGCAAAAAAGTGGCTCAGGAAAGCTCTTCAGTAAGATGTGGTCAGCAGTTTTCATTAGCCCCTCACACCTGCAGGCTTAACAGTTTGGTTAGCTCATTTTCGTTCCTGCTTGAAGCTGCTGCTCCTTAGATATTAATGCCAGAGTCTGAACAAAGGCTATCATAGGACTAAACCCCTCCCTCTCCAACTATGCTTTTTTTCATTTTAAGTCACTGCCTCAGAGTTTCACTTCCTGTATGGTGGAGTTTAAGTGTCTACTGAATAGATCTTCCCATGGAAAACAACTATAAGCTCTTGACAAAATACAAAAAACTACCTGAAGGCATTGGTGACTAAACAAAAAAGCTGGCGAGTTCTGGAGAGGCTGAAACTTGGAAGAAGGAAATGGCTCAACATGAGTTCCCATTTTTATGGCTTTTAGGCTGATAGAAAACTGCAGTTTTTTTGGCTGAAGAATCAAAGCAACCACAGCTTCTGGAAAGTGAGGGGAGAAGTCTCAGAAGAGAGAGACCGAATTCTGTGTATAAACTCTACCTACATCTTTGGCTGACCCCTGAACCATACATGTGTGAGAGACTTCAGCTAAAGACAAAATAATTAAATTGAGATTTGAGTTGCTGCTCAAGATTTAGTTTACAGTTTGAGTCCAATGAAATTAAATGCCTGCTAACAAACAAACAGACAAACAAAAATAAGTACTCTTTGGAGAAATACAACAGAATGTACAACATAATCATTTACAACACCCGGATACAAGCTAAAATTACTCAACATTTGAAGAACCAGAAAAATATGACTCTTTCTCTAAAGAAAAGACAAATGATGAAGCCCAACTCAGATGATTCAGATGTCGGATTTAGCAGAAAAGAATTTAAAAAAATAGTTATTATAACTATGTTCAATGAAGTAAAGAAAAACATGCTTATAATGAATAAAAACAGAAACGCTACAGAGGAATACAAAGCAGTTATTGCCAGTAACCACAGTTACTTACGCTCTGCTGACAAGTGAGATGATAATTAGAAAACAACTTACATTCAAAAGTACTGCTGCTCAGTTGGAGATTTTTGTTTCAAACAACTTTTATTTGTACCAAAACTAAATTGGAAATTGCTTACTGACACTATAGATAGCTTTTGTTCTTTGGGAGACTTGACTGGAGAGAAGAAAAAACTTTAGGGAAGTTTGGTGGAGAAATTTCCTGTAGAGGCATTTTCATTTAGTGAGGCTGTGAAGGACAAAGCTTTTCTGTCTGGGATTCCTAATGTTCATTGCCAGGCCTGCTACTGCTTCTTACATGGATCGATTTTTTTTTTCTTTCAGAAGGTAGAGCCCATGCTTTGTAATGCTCCTGCCAAGAATCTAAAGGAGGCAGGCTACAGAAAAGTGTTTTTATAAAGAGAAAAGTGGTTTTGAGAGAGAAAGCATGGAGAACATCAAAGCCTTGTCTTCTGAAGTGATTCTAACATGGAATTACTGAAAGGAAGTATTTGGAAGAGATAATCCCAAGTCCATTTGGGGTCTCACCACTGGTTCTTCTCTCCTTTGTTTACTGAATTCTACATCTTGTGAGACTGTATTTCAGAAACAGGGTCAGCTTCCCCACCCCAAAGACCCCTGGTACTCTCAAAAGCAGGATATGATAGAAAACAGCAAAACCTGTTCCTGGATAAAGCAAAAGGACACAAAACTCACAAAAAGGTGGCAATAGCTACAGTAAGAAAGGTTACCAACAGGCCTGAAACTATTAGTTTTAGAATGGACGTGACAGTTTCTCTGAGGGCAAGGAGTATAATTATTTAATCCAATAATAAAAATAAATAAACAATGTCCAAACAAAATAAGAGAGTAAAACCTCCCAAAGAGTGTTCTTAGCAACCTTGTGATATGCACAAACTAAGCTCAGGTTTCAGTGCTAAAACGGAGCAATGACTCGAGCTAAGAAAGAACTGATTAGTCACTCAATCAGAAACAGAAAAAAAAAGCAGAAAAACTATAAAACTCTTTTTATCATAGTTTTTCCACTATAAAGCTGACCACCACATCATCCAATGATGTAAAATTCTAGAAACTTTACAAAATTCTTTTTTAAAATTTATTTTTTGTTATCAAAGAGAATGTCCAGAAACACAGAATACTAAAGAATCTGTTCATGGCATCATTTTACAAAAGTTCCTAATGGAGTGTGAGTATTTTATTTTGATGTATCTCCTTCACTTACTAAAGATGAGGTGGATGAACTGATGTAATTAAAAAAAAATTCCAGACAAAAACATCCATTCTCATTCTGAATCTGCTGACTGGAGTGTATTCAGTGGTTACAATACCACCACTGGCTAATTAACCTCCCCACCGTAGGGAGCTATTCAAATTCTCTCATTAGGTCTCACAGGTCTCTCAGATATAGGCACCATGTTTGAAGTCTCACACAAAACGTCTGTGTCACTTAAATTACACAATGTGGCAGTGCTTTTTTTCATGGAGACATAATCTTGAAAGAAGGCTCAAAGTAGAAAACAATCTGTTTTCATGTTATATGTGAGTACATTATTGGACTGTCCTTGGGTTTTGGGCATTGTAGCCCTTGGAGAGGAATTCCACCAATGAAGCATCTGTCAGTTTTAAGTTGCTCCCGGTGCTGAGGGTGTCTACACATATAACCACATGTTGTTAGGTCAGGGCCTTCTTCATCTACTGTTTGGCTCAAATGGTTTGAACTGAGTTTGGTTGTCCTTCTCCTTCATCTTAAGCTCTATTTCTCGGCCTCAGGATATGTGGGGTACTTGACCGTTTCTATCTTCTCGCGGACTTTGTAGGAGGGATACAGGCCCGTCCTTCCCAGTTTCCTGTTGACACCTTTAGAATAGCCATCCCAATGATTTCCAGCCACCCCAATGATGTCTCCAGGTTCCATGGGAATTTCATCTGCAGTCCGAGGTTGGTGAGGATAAATGGCAATCTGGTTGTGGGCATTTTGACCTCCAAAATAGTAGATGTCATCCAAAGAATGGAAGTTTGCTGAGGCATCAGGATGCAGTGTTTGCATGATTTCATAAGCAACTCGACAGACCTTGGGAAAGAATGAAAAAAAAGTTGTTAGTGTATGTAAGATCTCCTTCATAGCAATCTAAAATCCCTTTGGACAAAGAGATTAGAACTAGACTAGGACTAGGACTAGGACTAGGACTGAGAGAACAAGAAGTAGTAGATTCTAGTCACAAGTTTTCACCTATTTGCTTGCAGATGATGGTATAAGTCATTTTTCATCTCTGTGCTTGTATCTTGTTGACATAAAGAGTATTATAATTAAGGTCTCTGAGAGAAAAAATACACAGTGCAAAGTACTTTAAGAACATGAATCAGTTAATTTTAATAAACACAGTACTCCATGTTGGGCACTGGTGGCACAAAAATGAGAAAGACATAGTTTGTGCCCATGAAGAATTTAAGGTTTAGAATTAGGATTACAAATACTTTACAAAAATGCTGCTGCTCCCTCTCTTTCATTCAGTTAATCAATTATATACTCTTTTCTGCTAATTTGGACTTGCTTTCAGAACTCTTCTCAACAGAAACTAATGTAATTACTGACTATCAGCACTAGCAACTGAGGTAAAACATATCTACCATTTCTATTCTAAAGAGTCTTTTGTTTTGTTTTTTGCGTTGGTTGGTGTGGCTCAGTGGGTTGAGTGCCAGCCTGTGAACCAAAAGGTCGCCATTTCCTATCCCAGTCAGGACACATCTCTGGGTTTGTAGGCCAGGTCCCCAGTTGGTGTTTCTCTCACACATCGATGTTTCTCTACCTCTTTTTCTTTCTCCCTTCCTCTCTCTCTAAAAATAAATAAAATCTTTAAAAAAAAAAGAGGTGTTTTGTTTTATTTAGGTTTATTTTATTCTCATTCAAGAGAGATGGCAAGGGAGAGAGAGAAAGAAACATCTACCTGTTGTGTCCTTCAGGTACCATGACTGGAGATCAAACCCTCAACCTGGGCATAGCCCTGATGGGGAATCGAACTGGTGACCTTTTGGTTTATAGAACAATGCTCCAACCAACTGAGCCACATAGGTTAGGACTCTATTCTAAAGAATTTAAAGTGTGCTATATAGATAGTAGCATCCCAGGACCAAAATAAAATGGACTAAACTTTGAGGAAGATGCATATATCTGATGTATTTAAGGCTACTTAATAACTTCCTCTGCTAAAGGAATACCTACCATGCTCATTGGATGGATGGCAGCTGAAATTCCACAATATGAGCTTCATTTCTTGAGCTTAATGCTTGGTGATTAAGTTAAACTATAACTATCCTCATGGAGGTATAACATTTTAAGCAATTCAGAAATACATTTATTATAGCATAAATAGGTTTCAGAAACTCTTCTAAAGGTGAAGAAAGAAGAGAGAATATTATTATTTTGCTTAGAACTCTTCTAGCCCTGGCCGGGTAGCTCCGTTGGTTATAGCACCATCAGGATACGCCAAGGTTGCAGGTTCAGAGCTTTATCCCTGAGGAGCAACCAGCTGTGTTTGCATGAGCCACCAAAGCTTTCTCAGAGCAGATGGGATCTTGTTTTGTTTTTGTTTTGTTTTGTTTTGTTTTTTGTCAAAACAGACAGGGCCAGGAGGATCTGCTGGTGTGGCAACTTGGAAGTGGGTTCTTGTCTCATTTGGTGATGGTGGGATATCTGTAAACTATTTTGTTTTGCTATTCAATGAGAAAACAGTATCACCTGTTGCTTCCTGAGCCATACCTTGATGGAAATTCCAATCCAGAGCCATCTGTCTGGAATAAATGTAATATATGGTTTTTCCCATTGCACTTTCCAAAATCTGATTCAAAGTGTAGTGAGGCCAGTTGAACTGTGTGTGGATGTGGAATTAGACAACAAAGAGTGACACAAGAATGTATTTTAAGTGTCACAAAGAGAAGTGTCACAGGGGGGCACTTTAACTTTAATTTTAGAGCTTAATTTAATTTATTTAATTTTAGATCTTTATTACTAGAGCAGTGGTTCTCAACAAGGGTGATTTTGCCCCTATGGGACACTTTGGTATTGTCCAGAGACGTTTCCGATGGTCACAACCTGAGGTAAGGATGCTTTTGGCCAGGATGCTATTAAGTATCCTACAGTGCACAGGGCAGTGCCTCACAATTTCTCTTGCCCCAAATGATAATGGTGCCTAGGCTGAGAAACCCGCAACTAGAAGAACAACCCATAGCCAGGCCTACAGTCTAGGCCCACAGAGGAGGTGGTGCACATGGGAAAGTGACTCTTGATTTACTCATTCTAAAGATACGCATTCCAAAATGTGTGGAGGTTGTTACTACTTATTTGTACCTGTTGGTCATGCAGGCACACAGCCAGACTGTCAGAAACAGCTGAGAGAGATGAAGCGGTTATAACCCCCACCCCGACCCCTGAGAATGGAATAGGAATCAAAGGGATCATGACCCTAATCAGCGAGAAACATCAGCAGTGAATGCCTGCATGGGAACTTGAAGGCCAAGTAAGTTTTCCCTCCTGACTAGGATCGCTGCCTCTGTGACTCCTGTTCTGTGTAGCTGTCTTTTTGGGGGAGTAAGTTGTATTCTTATTTACATTGAAGAAACTCAGAGCCTTTGCTGGGGTAGATATCTTTCCTACCCCATATTACATCACCATCCCACTGTGACAATGTGCATTGTCACGTGATAGAAAACATCTGTTTCTTTATACTCTCCGAAGTATATTCTCATGAAAGTGATGTGGCTTTCCTTTTCACATTTTCTTTTCCTAACTTTTCTAAGCCTTTAGAAATGTATTATTCTTACATGATTTATATTTCTTAGTAGTTATTTCATGTGAATGTTTTGCTCACTAGATTCTGGGCCAGGGTAAGATCTGTATCTTTATCTCCTTTGACACCCCCTCTGCACCTAGTATAATTCTGAGCACAAACAGTCGTTTAACAGATTGTTGAATGAACCAGCCAATAATAGGCACATAAATGAAAGAACAGAAAATCCACAGTAAATATTACTATGCTGATATTCCACTGGGACATATAAGGCTGCTTGGACCACTCATAAAAACACATACGTCAAACCCGTAACACATAATTATCTGCAACAACTAAACTCAAAGAATAAATGTAGTACAGTATTTCTTAAATTTAATGTACAGTTTCTTGCTTGGTAGAAATACAATAGGTCTTGAAAAGGAACTACATTGACTCTTTCTTATTTTCCATAAAGCAATCAAGTGAGGCAAAATGCTGGGCATTTAGGCTTCTCAGTATCAGTGCATCAATGTGTAGAAATGGATTCTGGTTAAATATTTACTGTATGCAAAATCAGAAAGTATTAAGTAAGCTTAATTACTTGCCGTTTCTGTTAAATGCTGTGAACAAGCCAAGCACTTTAAACAACTCCAATAGCTGGCTTCAGTGGAGATGTATTCAACCATTGCTTCCAAATAACTAAGTATTCAGTGCACTTAAATAGCTGTTTTTTGGGAAATCTTCTCATACATACACAAAAGAGATCTTTCCCAAATATTAGGAAAATTGCACCTGAATCATGATAACTAACATTAAAACAACCACAAAAAACCAAGAACTTCTTGACCCCAATATGACCAAGAAGTACTGGCTACTTAAAAATACCCTATTACCACTTACCTGGGATGAAAAAGTACACACTAGGAAGTCTGCCTGGGATAGAAAGTGTATATCCAGAATCACACCCCGAAGTGAATTTTCTGTGTATCGATTGTGTAATCCAGCTGACCAAGAGATAGAATTATCACTGATAAATTCATAACTGGGGTACCTGAAAAAGAAATAAATTTATACATAGTCACTAAAATTACAGGATTCTATCAGGAGGTAGTATCCTATCAGCAGGAGGCGGACCTGCTCCTTTGACCAAAAGTTCCTCTCTTTCTATCAGTGAACAGAACTTTAAAAAATCGTAACATTCAAAAAAGTAGTCAACAATGCATGCTTGAATCCAACAGCAGGACAGAAACCATTCTGGAGTGTCCTGTATGCTAAATGTCATTGGCATGCCATATAAAGTACAGTATCGATGCATCAGAATGTCCCTTCTCAATTCATGAAAAAGTTCAAAACAGAAGGCTCTTATTTTCTTTGTAATGAGTGACCTCCAAGAGATTTTTCAAGCTGCTTGCATATTTGATCACTGAGCTTTTCCTTTAGAATATAAATATCATGATTAAGCTTTATTTAAAATTTTAATTCAGAAATTGTGATAAGTCAGACTTGTCCCCTAACTACCATCATTGAAGCACCATCTTAACAAATAACAGTAATGCAAAATCATTTAAACACATTTATGAAAGCAAATTCCTTGGAGACGTCCACCCAAGTAACATTTTGGTAGTCTTGAGACAGGATATTTAAAACTATTAAAACAGGATGTCTTTAAAAAGTCTACCATATGTTCAAATGATTCTACTCTGAATTAGAGGTTTAATTATACTCTAGAGTGAATAAATTTCCTCAGTGCATAAGACAGATCTTCAGAGTTAAAATGCAAACTTTGGGAAGTTACTTGAAAAGGAGATAATAATTGTACCTACCTTATATACTTCATAAGCATTAAATACATTAAGTAATGTAAAGTACTCAGAAGAGTATCTGACATGTATTATATGCTCAGTCAGTATTGCTTGTGACTGTTAAACATCCCCAGAAATCGATCTGGTTTTACTCCTTAACCTCCTTTAGATCTCTGCTCAAATACAGCCTTATTAGTAAGGACTTTGCCAATCTGTATCCCTTTTACCTGCTTAATTTTTCTCCATGACTTTTATTACCATTTGATACAATATATATTTACTGTTTATTTACTGCCTGCATCAATTCATTCCCCACTTTCATCATCCCTAACTGGCAAATAGGCATTTCATCTGTTTTGTTTACTCTATTATTCTCAGTATCCAGAAGAAAATCTGGGATACAGAGGATCAGTAAGTATTTGTTGAAGAAATAATAGTTCCCGTTTATAAATCCTGAAACATTATGAGTCAGTTTACCTGTCTGTCTCCCACATAGTTTTGCCCCTAAACTGGGACTAAGCCTTATTTTTTCTCTGTATCAGAGCATCTTGCATTCCACACAATGCTAAGTGAATAAATACATGAACAAGTGAGTGCTATCTATGTCTAGGACTTTTTCCTAATCCTTCAAGAGCTGCTTCAGATTTCTCTTCATTTCCCAGCCACCACGGACCTTTCTTTCATTGCCTCTGATAATGACTGTGAAGGTAAAGTCTCTGAGCACTGTTTCAGACTGGTATTCAGTGCTCAGATCCATTTGGCCTCATTATTTTTGACATTTTGCCCTCCTCAGCTCTGAATCAGGGAGATGAAGGAAATGTCACATTTGTTCTAAAAAGAAAACAAACAAAAAGACTTTTAATGTGATTCCTGCAAAGCTGAATATCCAGGCATGGGGCAGAAACAGCAATAAATAAATATGAAAAGGCAGGAGGGTAGAGGAGACGGGGAATGGCTAAAATACACCAGTAAAGGTTTTCTCCTTGATCAAAGCCTGCTTTTGTCAGCATGGTTTGGGTGCTTAGTGAGACACAGAAAAAAGTGATCGTTTTACTGAGAAGTCACACTAATAGTAATGCCCTTCTTAACTTAAAGGCCGCTCCCTGAAACCAAACCAAAAGGTCACCTAAATTCCTTAGGCCTTATCTCTGTATTGAAAAGACCACTTGATGAAGGATACCTAGACTAGAAAAAACAAAGAAACAAAGTGAACAATGGGAGAGCAAGAGTTTGCATCTCCAGCAATGTGCATGGAACTTTCTGTACAAACACACTTCTTTCTTGTCTTTTGTCCACAAGTATGTCAGCAGAGGAATTCTTCCATTTTGAGGTCGCAGAGATTGGCAATAATAAAAAACATTTTTCTTCTTCTACTTTGTAAAAATTTATCTTCATATCACCCACAAAGGACTAACTTGAAATTAAAGACTAACATCAAATTTTCTGAAGTCCTTCTCTAGACTGATGGAGATACTCCTCTTCATGACTCAGAGAATTAAAATGAAAGAATTTTCAAAGAGGAAAAACATACATAAATACTACATTTATAGCAGATTATAAAGGAAACTGCTGCCTGGACTACAATGGGGAAAGGAGTTACTAGCTATAGACCACAAGAAGGAAATTCAAGTTTTATTAATCCCATAACCCAAGTACTGCCAACTGTACTACAAGGGGTGCTTGGTGTAAAAATATAATACTGTGTTATGGATCAAAGCTGTAAGCATCTCAGATATTTTTATTTAAATACTTCCATGTCCAGAAATACAGATTAAGGAAATAATGGGGATAATTTTAGGCACATATCATAGCATTATTTGTAAGATTAAAAAAATTATAAATAACCTAACTATCCAATATTGGGAGAATGGTCAAGTATGCAATGGAATAGCCATACAGTGACTAGTTATTAAAAAAGATGTTTACAATGATTTTTTATGTGACCCAGGAAAACAGATCTATGGCTATATTAATCCAAAGAGTTCATATTATACATAATATGATAAACTACTAAAATGTGTAACTATATAAATGATTGAAGGAAATATGTCAAAATTTAAACAGTTAATGCCACTGAGTAGTGGGACTGTGGGTAATATTTTTCCTTGCTTCCAACTTACCAACTTACCAACTTCCATATTTTCTAATGAGCATGAATTATTTTCTAATCAAGGAAAAAAGAAAAAAAGAAAAAAAGCCTGTAATGCATTCAAGGACAAATAAGAGTAGATAAAACTAGTATTTTAATATTTTTTTCAACCAAGCTACAAATTCAGTCTCAGTCTGGTATTTTAAAATGAAAGTGCATGGTGAAGAATTTCTACATCTCTCTAATAGGTCTAGATACCAAACTGGAAAAGTACTTATGAAAATTTTTAATTTTGTCTTATGCCCAAATGTTCATTTAATCCCCAATTCTTATGTAAGAATTATAACTGTACGAGTTGGCTTATACTTGGCTGGTGAATTTTTAGTTCTTGTTTATAAGTGTGTGTGTGTGTGTGTGTACTCAATAGAGACTTAAAAAAAGCAACTTATGGTATATCAGATTAATTTGAATTCTTAGGAGATAGAAGATTTATATTATTATCCAACGATGAGGAGGAACTCCTGCATGATAGCCCTCATTCTAAATTTGTTTTTCTTCCCAACTCCCACTTGTGACAACATAGAAAAGGGATCAAGACATAAATAAATAAATTGAATAGTCAAATAGCTTAAATGATTAATAAAATGCTTTCAAACCAATGGGACTGAAGTAAACATAATTCAGTATAGAGGAGGGACATAGTCAAGCACTTGGGGACAATTTCTGGAATAGATGGTATCTGAGCAGAGCTAAGACTAGAGTTTTCTTCTCTCGCATTCCCTACTTTCACATATACTTAATACATCCTTTATTTATTGGTACTAAATAAAGGACAACTCTAGGTTGATCCAGATCCTATGATAAACTCCCAGTTAGGATCAGTGCTTCATGAGTTTTCGTACTACCCAATGTTAATTCTCTAACTGCTCTACTCATCCTGCAGAGAATTTGTTTGTGCTCCCACCGTCGTCCCTCCCCGCTTTGGAAATTCCTTGAAAGCAGAGAGTGTCTTGCCTATCACGGATATCTAGCACCCAGCACAGTGCCTGAAATATAGGCAGCTTCAAAAAATGATGATCACGATTTAATACACACTAGTAGTCCTTTTCCTGCACTTATAGGACTTATCTTTTGATTCTTTATGTTTCTTTAATAAAACTTCCAAATTCCAGAAATTTTTATAAGATGAAACTTTTACTTTACATACATTTTCAGTTGCCTGTAATTGTTACTGAAGATATCAGAGCAAAAGGGTCAGCACCTGACATTATTGCTAATATAATAGTCCTATATAGCTGGTTAGTGTTACGGACTGAATGTTTGTGTCCCTCCCAGAATTCGTGTTTAAGCTTTAACCCCACAGTGTGATGGTATTTGGGAATAGAGCCTTTAGGAGGTAAGTAGGGTTAAATAAGGGCATAAGGGTGGGGTCCTCATAATGGAATTAGTGCCTTTACAAGAAGAGACTCTAGAAAGTTTGCTCTCTCTTCTAAGCGTGCAAAGAGGTCATGTGAATACACAGCGAGATGGCAGCTGCCTTCAACCCAAGAAAAGAGGCTTCGGAATGAGATCTACACTTCGCTGGCACTTCACAATTGCTTTGATTATATGAACAAGTTATACAAGTACATAGTTGTTTGAATCAAAAAACCCCAATGGTTAATAATAATATTATAACAAGAATCACAAGTCATGGGAATTAAGGATTCATTTCAACTAAAAAGAGTTCCACTCTAGGGTCACTACTTCATTTAACTTACTTCGTTTTTGCCTCCTTCAATAAAGAAGGGTCATCTGTGGCCAAATATACTCTTTTTTTATCCACTTGCATCCTGCGAGCAAGAAGCTGAAAATGTTCTTCAACATGCACCATGTACTCCTCAATGGGATGGAAGGCAGCTTCTGTTCCCACTTTGTCTGTGCGTCTGACGTGAACTCTGGAGGGGCAGAGGGACAAAATCAGATTCTGCAATGATATTCTGATTCACTGGGTGCTCTTAGGGTATACTCAACTTTATACTCCTATTCATGGTGGCATTATGAACATTTTAAACTGATTTTTCTTTCCTTTTTCACCATTAAATAAACTAAAAAATTCAAACACATATTTTTAAATATACTTGTATGTTAACACAATACAAAGGGAATTAAAAATAAGTAAAGCCTTTAAAAAATGCGTTCTTATAGAAAAAGTAATTGGCATATCAGGAACAAGTGGGAGATTCCAGAGTTATATTCCACACTGGCCAGCAAAATACCAATTAGCCTTTCAGAAAAAACTGGATATTAACTTAAGATTTTTTTTACATCAAATGATATCAAGATTCACAATCCTTATTACCAAACATTAATATATTGTTTGTAACATATTGATGTCAACTTTTCTTTTTCTTCATTTTACCCTGTTGGTCACTCTGTAACTGCCAACTTGCAGAATTTAAAGTTGCCTGAAGAAAACACAGAACTTGCATGCATTGTTCCTATAACACAGTCGAAGCGAGTAAACCTTTTGAGGGTTCTAACTATTTTTAAACTCATGAAGCCATTCCAGCTCTTTCATTGCATGCATACTGAATTTCCTTTCACTGTTTTTTACTCAAACACAAGCAGGTATTGCTCTATCTCATCTTTCCTATTTAAGAAAAGCTCCAAAACTGTAGAATTGGGGGCACAGAGGTTTACACTGTCCTACACTGAAGGAAGCATTGGTTTCCACAGTATTCTCCTCCCATCTCACTGCTTTAAAAGTGACTTTAATGAAAATAAGAACAATAATAATCATATCTTGTGTTTTATAAATTACAACTCTTCTGGAGTTTGCTTTTTCTGTACCCCTCTTCTCCCCTAATTACTAAACCACTATTCATATGCGGGAAAAGGTAGACTTGTTTCCCTTTAGGTCAAGCAAAGACCAGCTTTTTATTATGAATCTGGAGTAGGGGTTTGATTTCACTGAGGTTCCTCTGACATCTTCATGGCTATTCTTTCCTTTGCATTCCAGACTATAGTCCAGATGTGAACACTATTATATGTACACTTCTATCATCTTTTCCTTCCCACATGCTTCTTAATCACTGCTTCCCTCAGGAAATTGGAATTGTGCTCCAAAGAAATGAAGAGGAACAAAAAGAACAATTCCACTAAAGTTCCGTGAAATTTTTAATGAGAAGAAGCACTGTTTGATATTGATTTCACCTTGTATTTTCTTTAGCTTTAAAGTTTGGTATAGGGGTGAGTAACTTTTATACATATGAAGACTAAGACACAAGGGAAGAAGCAAGGGTGGGAGTTATGCAAATAAAAATAAAAACAAAGGAGATATGTAATAGAAAGAAGAATCAAAGGAAGAGGAGCATTTGAGACAGTGGCAGAATACTACACTAAACAATTTTCTCCAAGTACTCCTGACATTAGGCCTGGATCAATATTTTGACAGAGAACCGTAATGAAATCTCTATGGAAGAATCATAATGTTAGACCTATGAAGGATATTAGAAGTCATTTAATTTAATGTAACTCTTTTAATCAGACAGTTAAGGAAACTGACATGTCTGAAGACATTTCAGTGAGTAAAGACAGCACAAGGCATTTCAACCCAGTCTTTGAAAAAGTATACAGTATTTGTGTACATGACTGATTTTCACTATTCGATAGCAAGCTCTTTTGGCTCATGGGATCTGATTTTCTTTATTCTCTATGTCGCCAAATGAAATGAATGAATGATGGGTAGATACTAAATTCCAACTGTTTAGTATTATGTTAGTAGAGACCTTAAATACCAACAATCTAGTATTTTGTTTTTAACAAATGAGGAAAGGGCAACAACTAATGAAGGCCCCAAATGAGCAAGTAAGCTGCCCAAAGTCACATAACTTGTTAGTGGCAGATGTAGATGGGACCTCTAGATTCTAAAATCCTAGCACAGTTCTCTTTCATTACAGTGCAACATCTTAGCTGTTTGTGCTACTTCAATTTTCTCTAGTTGGCCAATTCGCAATATGGTAGATGGCCCATGGAAAATTAATAAGGGTTGCTTTCTAGTATGTAAAACTACAGGAAATCCAAAGTTAAGAAGATTCTAGAACTTTGGGCAAAGATTTTCTTACCTCAGTTTCCTCACCTATAACATAATTATTTCTGCCCACTTCACAGAATTGTGTTACAGGATCAATGAGATAATGTAGTTGAAAATATTTTGGTAATTTAAACACTATACTGTTATCTTCTCCACCTTTCAAGATCCTGTTCAAACAATGCAGCTATGAAGCCTTTCCTGATCCAGATGGAAGTAGATTTCCCCTTCTCTCACTTCTTATAATATTTCTAATGCTTCTCTCATGGTATTTATCACATTCTAACCACATAATGTTAGTTATGTAAGTCTCTTATCCTACCGACTATAATGATTTGGAAAGAGCCATTTAAAAAACATTAATCTCTGTTCCCCCACAGTAGTAGGTATTCAATACATGTTTTGCAAATAAGTGAATGAATCAGCAATGTATTAATATTAATCAATGGTTGATTTTATCACAAACAGTATAAACTACAGAAAGCTATAGTCTACAAGTCTATTTTCAGGAATTATTTAAGTATCAGTCTCTTCGAAATGTGATAATATTTTATAGTGCATTTTTTCCCACAAAACTAAAATCCTCTTTTAATCCTTTCATTATCACATCATCATTTTAGAGCAGGTATTACCTACCCTGTTTTAGAGATGGAAAAATCGAAGCCCAATACTACTATTAGGTAACAGCATAGGGGAAAGTCAGGACTATCATGCGAGCTGCTTAACTCTCAGTTCAGTATTCTCTCTATCAGACAAAGAACATTTCCCATGGGGCTGGAACCTGGCATCAGGACCCAGGCAATCTCCTTTCCCCGTAACTTTTTATGTACGTGTATAGGAGTACATGCTTGTGAGCAAAGGTGTTCTTTTGGACATTTCTTGCTCCTGAGATTTCCTGATATATCTCCCTTAACATAAAAACACCAGACTAAAAACATATATATATTGTTTCCAAGTGGGCCAAGAGATCATTTTAAATAATTTTAACATTACTTTATGGTACAAATGATATCCTTATTCTCAAAATAGCTTCTAGGACAGGGAAAAAACCCCAGAACATCAAAAAAGAAAAATAATTACCAATGGTAATTAATGACACCTAAGAATAAGGTGCAATCGAAAAGTTATAACTCTAATAACTTTATCTCATGGCCCTGTTAGCATACGACAGGGTCATGTATAATATCCAAAATACTCCCAATAAAATGAAATCTTGCTAGTTTCCCCTGGAGAGACAGTTAATTTCAGAAATATGGGCTTAATACATTTATCAAATGAATAAATAAAGTAAGGGTGACAAAGTACAATGACCCAGCCATTCTAAGTAAATGAGAGAAGAATAATCTCCTGGTGGCTAAGCTGAACTGTAGAACCTACTTTGGCGTAGAGCTATGAAAACTAAACTATATATTGTAAAGTTCACAATATATTGTAATGGTATATATCCCTGCTATTCCATATCACTTTATGAGGAACAAGTCAGATTCTTACCCAATAACTGGATGTTTGAAGCCAAGCTTCTTGGAGGCCTCTTCTATTTCCTTTTCTAGCCAAGGTTGTGGGCGGATCAAGTATTTGACAAACTGAGACACCCACCACACTGCAGGATCACCATGGACTCGAACAAGTCGATCTGCAAGGTCTTCTGGTACCGCCAGGGGTAAATATGGAGGACGAGGATGAAGGCTGTCTACAATGGGGAGCTCAACCACCTGAACATTTTTGTCCTTTATTTCACCTAAAAGAATATCAAAACATTATCATCACCACACTGTGTTGCTCATACAATTACCATTTAACAAGGACTCACTCTGGGTGCTTTCATTTACAGCAACTCTAGAGAAGTATTATAATTTTCACTTTACACAGGTGTTTACACAGGTGCCCAAGGTGTTAGCACAAGAATGACACAGCTGCAGTTCACATTTGGGTTGATGTGTCTGTCAAGTTTATAGCCTTTTCTTTTCTATCATAATATGCTGCTAAGTCAACACTTCTATCCTAGATAAGGATGAGACCGAGTACTCAAAGTATCTAATCAGAGAAAAAATATATTGTCAATAGACACAGCCAGCTAGGCAAAGTTCTGATTTTTGTAATTTTTTTTTAAATTAGACAAAAAGTGCTCTCAAAACTTGCAGCTTGTCATTAAAGCAAATGGTTCTTGCATCACTTTCATGACAGAGCGAATGACTCTAGAGATACCTAAAGATTACAATGATAAGCCAAGCATCTATATCTTTTTAAGAGAAAAAAAAAATCAGGTAATTCTAAAGTCTTTTCTTTTCTTGGCCAACATAGAGCTATTATATTTCCCATTATGATAGTAATAGAATCTGTGTTTACCTGGATATTAATTTAAAGTTACAACAGAGATTAAATGCTAACTTTTGTAGATGAAGCTTAGTTTCAGAATCTAACTTCTATGTCATTAATGTTACTGTTCTATCAATTTCATAATGTAATGAGAAGAACCCAAATGTGATAGCCAACATCCTTAAACTTTACTTTACATATTAAAGACCATGTAGTAACAGGGTATGTGTTATTTAAGAAACTGAAAAAGTTCTTTTTTAAAAAGATTTTATTTAATTTATTTTTAGAGAGGGGAAGGGAAGGAGAAAGAGAGGGAGAGAAACATCAGTGTGTGGTTGCCTTTTGAGTGCTCCCCCATTGGGGCCCTGGCTGGCAACCCAGGCATGTGCCCTGATTGGGAGTCAAACTGGTGACCCATTGGTTCACAGTCTAGCGCTCAATTCACTGAGCTACACCAATCAGGGCTGGAAAAGTTCTTAAATAAAGGCAGCACCTGAGTAGTATACTACTCAGAAAGAAGATAATATTCTTGCTTTTGTTATTTTGTTATGATTTCAATGTACACTTTTTCAGGGAGCTGGATCTAGTTTTGGAGGCCTAAAAATTATCTTTTGAGAGTTATGAACAAAATAAAATCTATTTTAGTTATTAAATATCAGAATTTATAGTTAATTTTTATATGATGTACTGAGCTTGATTAAACTGAAAATTATTGTATTTTTATTGCTAGAACAAAGTCTGTCTCTTCTTTAAGAATTTTATTTGCTTCACATTGTATGTTAACTTGCAATATATAATGAAATTAATTTATAAGAATCTCACTTGGAATATATCTATACACTTCTGGTCAAGATGGAGGCATAGGTAAACACACTTTGCCTCCTTGCACAACCACAGAAAGAATTACAACTAGATATGAAAACAAATAACACCCAGAACTGTGAGAAAATCAAGCTGTATGGAAGTCCAATAACCAAGGTTAAAAGAAGCCACATTCATCCAGACAGGTAAGAGGGGCAGAGATGCAGAGATGCTGGAGAGGCACGGAGAGGCCATAAAGGCAAAAGGGGTGGTCCCACATTCACATTTGGTGGATAAAATTTGGGAGGGATAACTTGGGAACGAGCAATCCCAGTCCCAGGCCAGACTGTAGAGCCCAGGGTTTCAGTGCCAGGAAGATAAATCTCCATAACTTCTGGCTGCAAAAACCAGTGGGGGTTGGGGCTGTAGAAGAAACTGCCACATTTTTAGAAGACTCCATTTAAAGGGCCCACACAGACTTGGAACATACACACACCCAGCCCCTTTGGAATTCAATACCAGGGAAACAGCCAGAAGGGCACCGGTTGCATACAGGGGGTAAGTGAAGTGACTGGAAACAGGGCGAGTGATAAGCAAAGCTCCAGAAACCAGGCAGCGGCATTGTCCCCTCTCCAAGAATCTTCTTCCACATAGAGCAACAAAGTGGTGAAGGGGTTGCCCTACCCTGGTGATTACTTAAGACTCCACCCCACACAATTTACAGATGCTTTTTCTGCAATAGGCCAAACTACTGAGATAGGGAGTCAAAACAGCTTTACCTAATACACAGAAACAAACACAGGGAGGCTGCCAAATTCAGGAGACAAAGAACATGACCCAAATAAAAGAACAGAACAAAATCCTAGAAAAAGAACTAAATGAAACAGAGACAGCCAACCTATCAGAGTCAGAGTTCAAAACACTCATGATCAGGATGCTCAAAGAACTCACTGAGTACAGCAACAACATAAAAACACCCAGGAAAAAATGAAGGTTACACTAAGTAAAATAAAGAAAAACCTACAGGGAACCAACAGTGGAGGGGATGAAGCTGGATTCAAATCAACAGTTTGGAACAGAAGGAAAAAATAAGCATTCAACTAGAACACTAAGAAGAAAAAAGAATTTTAAAAAAATGAGGATAGTATAAGGAGCCTCTGGGACATCTCCAAAGGTATCAACGTCCGAATCATAGGGATGCCAGAAGAAGAAGAGGAACAGCAAGAAATTGAAAACTTATTTGAAAAAATAATGAAAGAAAACTTCTCTAATGTGGTGAAGGAAATAGACATGCAAGTCCAGGAAACACAGAGAGTTCCAAACAAGTTGGACCCAAAGAGGACCACACCAAGACATATCATAATTAAAATGCCAAGAGTTAAAGATACAGAGAGAATCTTAAAGGCAGCAAGAGAAAAGCAGAGAGCCACCTATAAAGGAGTTCGCATAAGACTGTCAGCTGATTTCTCTAAATAAACTTTGCAGGCTAGAAGGGACTGGCAAGAAGTATTTAAAGTGATAAAAAACAAGGACCTACAACCTAGATTACTCTATCCAGCAAAGCTATCATTTAGAATGGAAGGACAGATAGAGTGCTTCTCAGACAAGGTAAAACTAAAGGAATTCATCATCACATTATTACATTAAAGGCTAAAGGGACTTATTTAAGAAAGAGAAGATCAAAACTATGGATATCAAAATGGCAACAAGTTCACAACTATCAACAACTAAATCTAAAAAAAACAAACTAAGCAAACAGGCAGAACAGGAACAGAATCATAGATATGGAGATCATTTGTAGAGTTGCCAGCTGGGAGGAGGAGGGGAGAGAATTGGGAGGGGAAAGGTACAGGGATAAAGAAGCACAAATTGGTAGGTACAAAATAGACAGAAGTATGTTAAGAATAGTACAGGAAATGAAGAAGCCAAAGAACTTATATGCACAACCCATGGACATGAACTAAGGCGGGAGATTGCTGGAGAAAATGAGGGTATACTGGGTGGCTGGGGGACAACTATAACAGCATAATCAATAAAATATATTTTTTAAAAAGAATATTTCTACATGTAAAATACAAAAATAAATTAAATGTTATTTAAAACTAACATTTTCATATCTCTTATTATTGATGTTTGTGATCATTACTATCATTACAATAAAACACATTGTACTTCTTCATTTTCAGAGAATTTTCACATATTAGTTCAGTGTATTTGCAAAAGAGCTCATGGTTCTCCTTAAGACCTGCTTTCAAGGAAAACTATTTTTACTAGAGCCTAACCTATTGAAGAGGTTTTACCAAAGCCTAGCCAGCCTGGGGGAAGGAATGTACCCATCTCAGGTTCACTAAAAGACAGGCTTAATCAGAGGACTATGTAATACTTCCTTTCCACCGTGTGATACCACCGTATCAATATGGCTACTGAGTAGAAACCAAGGATTACAGCTAAAAGAACTGCCTATTTAAGAAGTCTTCAAGAAGACCTAAAAACAACAGGGCAGTCAAAAGATACTAGAGGAAAATTTAGTATCTGATATCATGGTTCTAGCTAACAGTTCACACAGCCTAACTCCCAGCCAGGTAAACCTAACACCTGACACTAAAGGCCAATGTATTTCAGCTTCTTCTTAGCAGATACAGCAAGTCCAGCTTTCATCAAAAAATTACAAGATGTGCTAAATAACAAAAAAATACAGACTGAAGGGACAAAGCAACCACCAGATTCAGACTCATATATGGCAGAGATTTCGGAATGATTAGACTGGGAATTTAAAATAACTATAAGTAATATCCTAAGTACTCTAGTGAAAAAAGTGGACAATATGCAAGAAAAGATGAACCATGTAAGCAAAGAGATGGAAACTCTACAAAAGAATGAAAAGTAAATGCTAGAAATCAAAAACACTGTAACAGAAATGAAGAATGCCTTTGATGAGGTCATCAGTTAGACTGAACATAACCAAGGAAAGAATCATTTCAAAACATCTGCTAAAGGATTTATATCCACCCAGCAGTAAGAAAACAAATAACCTTATTATAACATGGGCAAAAGGTGAACAGACAACTTACCAAAGATACACAGATGGCGAATAAGCATATGATGATCAATATTATAGATCATTAGTACGTTGCATCTTAAAACAGGATGCCACTACATGTCTCTTAGAATGGCTAAAATTTAAAACAGTGAGTGACAACACCAAATGCTGGGAAGGATATGGAGCAACAGGAACTCTCACTCATTGCTGATGGGAATACAAAATTAGTACAGCTATTGTTATGAACTAAATGTTTGCATCCTCCCAAAATTATGTGGAGCTCTAATCTCTCATGTGATGATTATTAGGAGGAGGGGGCCTTTGGGAGGTATTTAGGTTTAGCTGAGGTCATGAGGGTGGGCCCCTATGATAGGAATGGTGCCCTACAAGAAGGGGAAGATACCAGAGCTTCCTCACTCTATCAAGTGAGGATGTACCAAGAAAGCGCCTGTCTGCAAGCCAGAAAAGGGCACTCACTGAAAACCAAATTTGCTGACATTCTGCTTTGGACTTCTAAACCTCCAGAACTGTGAAAAATAATGTCTGTTGGTTTAGCCACCCAGTCTGTGGTATTTTGTTAT